TGCATGACGGCTACAAGGGCACCAACTTCGGCCAGCACGAGAAGTCCGACGGTAAAAATGTGTACGGCTCCTACACCGTCGACCTCCCCGACGGTCGCAAACAAAGGGTACGTCCACCTCCATCACACTTTTTACACTACACTCCATCGCCTAGTGTGAAAACCTAAGTTCATGAATATCATTTTAAATTCTATAGCCAAATGCTACGTGTTCTTCCCCAGGTGGACTACACAGCTGACCACTACAGGGGCTACGTGGCCAAGGTCAGCTACTACGGCAAGGCTCAGCACCCTAAGCACTACGGCCCCGCCGTCACCTTCTTCAACAAGGGCTACGGCCACGGAGGCGGATACCACTAGTCTTGGATAACTTAACCTGCTCGACAATGATTATATTTATGTAAAATGTATGGGGAAAGAATAAACGAAAACTACCAAAAATATTTATTATTTGTGCTCAAAAAATAGTAACTGACCGCTGTTATTTATATAATTAAATGATTAGTTTGATAATTTCTGATCGATGTGGCAACCAGCAGTTTTCAGATCAAACGCCCACTTACTTAAGCGTTCCATGTACATTTCAAAAGAATCAGCTCCATTTATTATTCAAAGGATATTTTGTGAATAAAATGTTTAAAATGGCATCATTTTACGACAAACGTATATGCCAACCTACAGCATATATTCCTTATAATAAACACACACATGTATTGTTCATTAAACAGAACTTGAACACACAATTCTAACAGTTCCTTGATCACCAGAGGGGACTAATGGGTGGCAGACCTACACGTGCCAATTTCCATTCATCAAATGTCAAGGATCTCCGGAGCTGTTGAGGCAACACTTCACGGCCTCCCGGCGCTCACACCATTATACTCCAACAACCTGAGACGTCGCCGAAGCAAGCAACAACAATTAAAAAGACTTCTCGCCGGAACTAAAGTTAAAATTCTTGCATCATTAATGCGATTTAACAATCTGTAATATTTAAGAAGCGGTATTTGTTTAATTTGGGTAGACGACGTGATTTTTCAACATTTTATGATCGGGGAGCAGAGACTAGTTATTTTTTCACTGCATTACTAGGAACAAGACTGACACAAACTGAAAATTCTGCCGACCGAACACTGCTCCTCGTCCAAAGAAGAAGGGTGCTTTAGTTTGGTGTTGGGCTTAAAGCCTCTCAACCTCTGGAGGGCTATTAAGGACACGACAATAGCCTACTGACCAACCAGCAAGTTAAGTCCTGAACATAGTCCAGAACTATCTTGAGATGATTTCAGGGCTTCTTAGTGTCCCCGCGGCCCGGTCCTCGACCAGGCCTCCACCCCCAGGAAGCAGCCCGTGACAGCTGACTAACACCCAGGTACCTATTTTACTGCTAGGTTACAGGGGCATAGGGTGAAAGAAACTGCCCATTGTTTCTCGCCGGATCGAGAATCGATCCGGCGAGAATCGATGTCCTGGTCCTGGGATGTCCTGTGGTCCTGGGATATCCACATCCCAGGACCACATTTATATATATATATATATATATATATATATATATATATATATATATATATATATATATATATATATAAATCGATGTCCTGTGGTCCTGGGATCGAACCCAGGACCACAGGATCACAAGTTAGCGTGCTGTCCGCTCGGCCGACCGGCTAAAATAAACTCTTCATCTACACCGAAAGGCGGGCTACACTTCTCTGTGAATTTATCCATGTGTGAAAGATGATGGAAAAACAAGTTGGAAACAGTTAATGGTAGTGAGATCTAGTGAGGTGTTACTGGTATTAAATTGCAAGAGTTCCAGACTGTTGACTGTACAGCTAATGTGTGTACACTCCCAGAAGCCATGGTGATGCTAGAGTTTTTCCTCGGGGACGGAACACCAGAACGAAGCTCGTCTATACATTTAACATTATAATTTCCAGAAAAACTTTCTAGTGGATTAGAGTTATTTCGGAACAGTACATACATACATACATACATACATACATACATACATACATACATACATACATACATACATACATACATACATACATGACATCCGCCTACCCACACGCGCATACGAAAATCAAATAACCAAATTTGAACAATATATTACCTATTAAAAAGTTTATAGAATAATTTTTTTTATCCTATCAATTCCCACTACACATGTGCCTCGAGAATGGAGGCTGAGAAACTTATGGCATTTGACCGCTGGCGAAGGAAAATGTTACTGATAACACAAAACATAATCATGAACATAACCTTTAAAGACGCCCTCACTAGCCTGAACTTCCTGGGGGGCTAAAGAACTTAAGAAGTACTCAGCTCCCTAAGCACTACAGCCCTACCGTCGCCTACAACCCGGGTTACAGCCACGCAAGCTGCAACCACTAAATACAAAAAAAACGCAAACATCCCAGGCTCGTAAAAGCAAGCACGCACTTAAATGAATACCTAAATCTTCCTTTGAGTGCGTGCTGAGTTGGGTTGGTGTGACAAATGGTGGTTGAACTTCAACCCATATATATATGAGGCGATGTGAATACGGGCTGGAGCGAGGAGACCTTCAAACAGAACGCAATGAACGGGAGACAACCTCCTAAATTAGAAAAATAAAACAATCTAGAAGACGAAACTTTTCTAACACCAGCCCCACGCACACAACAAAATAACTTCAGCGGTGTATGCAGTTATCAAACATCCACCGTAACATTCAGGAGCCTTAACAAGAAAGTTTTCATAACCTTGTTCCTCACTAACACTGGCAGTACTTTAGTCCCTCTGTCCTCTGTCTCTGTATTGTGTTACAGTCCCTCTGTAACACAATAAAGGTGCTTTGTTGTGTTTTATTTAATATTTTACATACAACGTGAGACAGCCAGACAAGATTTTGAGAGGCACCAGGTTGTCTGACCCAAGCAATTAAAAAACTCATACCTCTAGATTGTCAATGATAACAAGTTGACCTGTGGTCAGGTCGTGTGACTTGACCTTGCTTCTACTAAGCTGATAATTGTAGACGGCTGGCTGGGTTGGGCCCATCAAACAAGCTGCTATTTAAGGCGGGGGTAGGTAGAGAGCCTTAGGCTATCTTACTTCTGGGTGGAGTTTAGCTACCAGGTTCCCGCATAAATACCCATGGAACTGTACATTCGAGGATAGGATAGGATCAGCAGACAGCAGAGCATAAGCCGACAGCAGCAGAGATAGGCTGTCGGCCGGACTAGGGGGACTATGCCAGTCAACTGTAACCCCCCCCCCCCCTCTATCCAAACTTAGCCTCAACCCTTGGTGAGTTTGAACGTTAAAGTGACTTATCTCTTATCTACCAAACTTAAGGTGTGTGATTTCAGGGACAGACAGCCGTAGATGACTCAAAGTCTTGTGTGGTGACTCACATTGTATATTAATCTTGACAAAGTGAACATTAAGTTTAACTGTTTGAATTTATGCTGTTAATATTAAATATATATTATTGATTAACTAACTTTGTGTTCCCTAGAGCTTGGATTTAATGACTAACTTCACTGACTTAAAGTGTATGAGTACATGCTTACAGCAGGTAAGTAGGTAGCAGATATGATACATGATACATGATACATGATACATGTTAATAACATCTGATAACAGTTTAGAGTACCGATAAGTTCTATTCCTTGTCGTGTATGCACTGAACTAGAATGAATGGTTGCAGCCCTTTCTTTCTACTTCTGCTCTCTACTCGTCTACTTTTCTACCCTCTACTACGTTCTATTCTCTCTCCTCTCCCTCCGCCTCTCTCTTTAAACTTTCCCTTTCAACTGATCACACTCCTCGCTATTCCCTTTACTCCTTGCTCCTCCCACCTCTCTACCTCCCTCACCCCAAATCCTCACTCATTACTTCATGATTCATTTCCTTTTTTCTCATTTCCGATACGTTACACCTCTGAGGAGACCATTTAATATAACACACAAACTAGTCCAGAAGTTTGCCGCTATACTGGTCCCAGAACTGAGAGGTTTGGGATACGAGGAAAGACTGGTGAAACTACCTCACATTTAATATCGCGGATATGACCGCGATATTAAAGATTCTTTAATGCACTGACAGGATAGACGACGATATGTTCAGAAGAAGAAATTAATCAATGAGAAAGAAGGAAGTAACCGACCCAGCTAAATAACTTAGATGTAAAGAAACATTTTTCAGTGCTTGAGTTAAAAAGTGGTACAAATTACAGAGGGTAATTGAAGTTAACGATATTCACTTCTTAAAATCAAGCAATAACTATTGACTTATGTAGGCGACAAAAGAAAAGGCGGGGACCAGGAGCCGCTAATCAACCATGCAAGCACTAATCGCGAAGCTCACACTCCCATCCGTGTTTGCGAGGCGTCTGACAATGAATTACGTTTCTGAAGTGATCAATTACTAAATTGTAATTTATTTAAAACAATAGTATTTTTAGGGTTAAATAGAATACTGTACCTGTAAGTTAGCTTCAGGTAACATGGGGTTAATATGTTATCGAATCTGTTAAATTCTCTTCCTCTCCACCTTACCTGCTTCTTTGTCTTGGTGTTCTTGAAACGTGTGGAGCACATGTGTCGTTGTTGCTCTGTACTGCTACTTTCATTAGTGGGTGGCACAAGTGTCCTTGTTGCCCCCAACGTGGAACCTCGGCCATTCACTGCTACTTACAAAATCATTAACAAAATTAAAACAATTTTACCTTCAAGCTGTCATGGCGCCTGCGTCGGTAACCCGTATATATAATACTCCCAGAACGATACATTATTACTTTTCATGGTAATATAAACACAAAATGTAAATTTGTAAATAAGTTGAAAGATAACGATCAGGGAGCACTGGAAAGGGGGGAGGGGGTGGTAGTCAAGAAATGCTGTGGAGGGGGTTGGGGTTACTGTCTGGGGTTTCCGGAGAGGTGGGGGTCTGGGAGAGGGGAGGCTGGATGCTGACAGTGCCAGAGGGAGCGGGTATATAAGTGGAGCAGCTCCCCAACACAGTCAGTCGCTCGACCAGCAGCCTCAGCTCAACATCCCAACACACTCATATAATTATGTTATTCAAGGTCTGTTTCGTTATCTTGAAAAAAATATAATCATTTTATTGAGTATTAATATCTAACAAAAAATCTAAATTCCAACTGAATCACCTTATAAACAGCAATATTACCTTATCTAAATATACTAAAACATATACTGAATATTTATTTACTGCAATAATTTGACTGATACGAATTTTATACTAACTCGTTAATACCAGAAGTCGTCGCGGATAAAGTAAATCCATTACATACTATCTTCGAGTAATATGTTCAATACAACGATCAATCATCACTGCTGACAACTGTAAAGTTTATGTAAACTGACAACATTCCCTGGACCACAATGACTACTGACTCACAAGGACTCATCTTCCCCAGGTGTGTCTGGTCCTGGTGGTGGCCGCCGTGGCTATGGCTGACCCGGGTGACTACGGTGGACCCGTCTACGCCTCGGTACGTGTTAACTGTTTTTTTTTGTGTGTGTGATCGGGCTTCAGCTCCTGGGCGCAATCAAATTTCAACTGCAGGTCGTCTGATGTATTGACTGTCGGCCCTCGCGTTTAATTTATAATAATTATTTAAATATTGTGAATGGATTTACCCTCAACAAACTACTTAATTCAGCGCTCACACTATCTGTATAAAAATCTTTTACTTGCAGAGAGGAGGTTTGAAAGTTCGGTGGCCTGTCCACCATGGGTTGATATATGTGTATGTGTCGTTTGTTTGCGTATGTGTTATGTTGGGTTGTCAGTTGACTCACTCGCGTTTCCATTTTCCATATGTATCCGCTAGCACTCTTGCGGTCCATCATAGACTTCGCTTTTATCCACTTTCCATACACTAAAAGTATTTTATAGTTCTCAAATTTGTGTTCTCTGGCTTTTTAAATACAAGATACATTTTAGTTCTCTTAATCAGGTCTCGTACGTCTACATTTTATCTGAAACAAGCTTTACGGCAATTTTTTAAATTATCAACACATTTCTTTTGGAGCTGATTAAGGGAAAAGTTGTATGGAATATTATACTCTTGGCATACTTTTTGTCCAGGTTCCTGAAGTTTCCATCCTTATGCATGACAGTGATGTTATCCTGCTTGTTTATGCCACTGATGATATCCTGCTTGTTTATGCTATTGACATTATATCCTGCTTGTTCATGCCATTGATTTTATCCCGCTTGTTTATTCCACTGATGTTATCCTGCTTATTTATGCCACTGATGTTATCCTGCTTATTTATGCCACTGATGTTATCCTGCTTATTTAAGCCACTGATGTTATCCTGCTTGTTTATGCAAGTGATGCTATGCTGCTGGTGTATACCACTGATGCTATCTTGCTTGTGTATGTCACATCTCCATTAGGCCACTGATGTTATCCTGTTTGTGTGACGTCAAACTATTGGGTCTTTATCATCATAATCTTTCAATTATGACAACAATCGACTTTAAGCCTAGTGGGAATTTCCTGCAACTTATAAAAAAATCATCCAGATGCAGGGAGAGCCGGGGGAGGGGGGAGCCGGGGGAGGGGGGAGCCGGTGGCTGAGCGGACAGAACACCGGACGCGTGATCCTGTGGTCCCGTGTTCGATCCCGGGCGCCGGCGAGAAACAATGGGCAGAGTTTCTTTCACCCTAATGCCCCTGTTACCTAGTAGTAAATAGCTACCAGGGAGTTAGTCAGCTGTCACGGGCTGCTTCCTTGGGGTATCGGCCTGGTCGAGGACCGGGCCGAGGGGACACTAAGCCCCGAAATCATCTCAAGATAGCAGTATTTACTCATAATATAATATACTTATTAATTTTAAATTGGCTGCAAACCTCAATAAGAGGAGTTCAGGCTAGCTGGTATTTTTGTGTTGAGTTTCAAGACCACTCGAGTTATAATTACGTAAAATATAATATACAACAATAATGAATGTAATATTTACAATACATTATAATAATGAAATTACATTAATATTGTAAAATATAATAATATAAAAAAAATCCTATCTCTAGGAGCCTCTGCCGTACTACTACGACTACAACGTGCATGACGGCTACAAGGGCACCAACTTCGGCCAGCACGAGAAGTCCGACGGTAAAAATGTGTACGGCTCCTACACCGTCGACCTCCCCGACGGTCGCAAACAAAGGGTACGTCCACCTCCCTCACACTTTTTACACTTTTCACTCCATCGCCTTGTGTGAAAACCTAAGTTCATGAATAACATTTTAAATTACATAACCGCAATAATATCAAGTTAAATGCACCGTGTTCTTCCCCAGGTGGACTACACAGCTGACCACTACAGGGGCTACGTGGCCAAGGTCAGCTACTACGGCAAGGCTCAGCACCCTAAGCACTACGGCCCCGCCGTCACCTTCTTCAACAAGGGCTACGGACACGGAGGCGGATACCACTAGTCTTGGATAACTTAACCTGCGCGACAACGATTATATTTATGTAAAGTGTATGTGGAAGAATAAACGAAAACTACCAAATATATTTGTCATTTGTGTCCAAACTGTTGCAACTGAGCGCCACAAAGTATTTGTTTATATTATAACGCTTATTGGTTTTGATGAATCCAGATAGCAAATAAAATAAATATAATTTGTAAATAATAAATAAATTTGATAAAACGTGTCAATACTTTAGTGTAAACGAAACAACTTCATTTCATTATTAAAAAAAAAATTATAAATATAATATTGATAATGGCATCATTTTAAGACAAACGTATATGCCAACCTACAGCATATGTTCCTTTATATATATATATATGTATATATATATTTTATTAAATATGACCGAAAAAGTAAGATTAATAATTCTAACACGAATTTTCTCAATCTTTCGTACATTATGCTTCACTGTTGGAGGTAAATCAAAAATCACTTCTCCAAAATTCATTTTTATTTCTAGTCTGACGCGACACGGGCGCGTTTCGTAAAACTTATTACATTTTCAAAGACTTCACAAATACACAACTGATTAGAACTTGCGTTTCCCTGATTTTATATCTACATTTGAGTGAGGTGGGAAGGGTGATGTGGCATTACATTTGAGTGAGGTGGGAAGGATGATGTGGCATTAGAGGATATTAATAGGGTATTAAAAGTATCAACACAAGACAGAACACGAAACAATGGATATTGAATAGAAGTGTTTGTAGAAAGCCTATTGGTCCATATTTCTTGATGCTTCTATATTGGAGCGGAGTCTTGAGGTGGGTAGAATATAGTTGTGCAATAATTGGCTGTTGATTGCTGGTGTTGACTTCTTGATGTGTAGTGCCTCGCAAACGTCAAGCCGCCTGCTATCGCTGTATCTATCGATGATTTCTGTGTTGTTTACTAGGATTTCTCTGGCGATGGTTTGGTTATGGGAAGAGATTATATGTTCCTTAATGGAGCCCTGTTGTTTATGCATCGTTAAACGCCTAGAAAGAGATGTTGTTGTCTTGCCTATATACTGGGTTTTTTGGAGCTTACAGTCCCCAAGTGGGCATTTGAAGGCATAGACGACGTTAGTCTCTTTTAAAGCGTTCTGTTTCGTGTCTGGAGAGTTTCTCATGAGTAGGCTGGCCGTTTTTCTGGTTTTATAGTAAATCGTCAGTTGTATCCTCTGATTTTTGTCTGTAGGGATAACGTTTCTATTAACAATATCTTTCAGGACCCTTTCCTCTGTTTTATGAGCTGTGGAAAAGAAGTTCCTGTAAAATAGTCTAATAGGGGGTATAGGTGTTGTGTTAGTTGTCTCTTCGGAGGTTGCATGGCTTTTCACTTTCCTTCTTATGATGTCTTCGATGAAACCATTGGAGAAGCCGTTATTGACTAGAACCTGCCTTACCCTACAGAGTTCTTCGTCGACTTGCTTCCATTCTGAGCTGTGGCTGAGAGCACGGTCGACGTATGCGTTAACAACACTCCTCTTGTACCTGTCAGGGCAGTCGCTGTTGGCATTTAGGCACATTCCTATGTTTGTTTCCTTTGTGTAGACTGCAGTGTGGAAACCTCCGCCCTTTTCCATGACTGTTACATCTAGAAAAGGCAGCTTCCCATCCTTTTCCGTCTCGTAAGTGAAACGCAGCACGGAACTCTGCTCAAATGCCTCCTTCAGCTCCTGCAGATGTCTGACATCAGGTACCTGTGTAAAAATGTCGTCAACATACCTGCAGTATATGGCCGGTTTCAAGTTCATGTCGACTAAGACTTTTTGCTCGATGGTACCCATGTAGAAGTTTGCAAACAGGACACCTAGGGGAGAACCCATAGCGACCCCATCTACTTGCTTATACATATGCCCATCCGGGCTCAAGAAGGGTGCCTCTTTAGTACAAGCTTGGAGTAGTTTCCTCAGAATACTTTCTGGCATGTCAAGAGGAGTACAGGCTGGATCACGATTGTATCGTGATCCAGCCTGTACTCCTACGTAATAACGTAATTAATATAACATATTAATAAATGTATTATATAAAGAATACATTTTAATAATGTAATTATATTATTATAATATTGTAAAATATGAACAAATCCAACAGGTGCCTTGATGAGGGTTCGAACCTATGCGCTGGGTGTTCCCAGGCACGTTCTAGTCGACTGCACCACAACATTTGTCAAAAGAAATACAACCTAGAGTACTACTGCACCCATAAAGGGGTCCCGAGGCTTGCACTAAAGCCAAACCGGGGTTTCACACAATTCCCCCCATGCACTCGGGCTCTGTCACCAATAATTCTACCTCTGACGCCCCTCCTTCAATACATGTGTATTGTGTATTGAAGGAGGTAGAATTATCTCAGGAGGTCACCCAGGAGGTCAGAGGTAGACTTACTGGTTGACTGAGCCCAAGTGCATGGAGGGAACTGTGTGAAACCCCGGTTTGGCTCTAGTGCAAGTCTCGGGACCCCCTTAAGGGTGCAGTAGTACACTAGGTTGTATTTCTTTCGACTAGAGCGTGCCTGGGAACACCCAGCGCATAGGTTCGAACCCTCATCAAGGCACCTGTTGGATTTGTTCATTGATATATCATTAATGTGATTTCTCTGTGTATCGTAAAATATAAAATAACATATCTATATAAATAAAAATGTAAATGTTCGCCTGTTCAAAATCGCTAATCTCCGAAAATTCTTCGCCGATTGCTTTGAAATTTTCACAACGTTCCATTCGCAAACGAGCATGATTTTATATACATTTTATATAGATATCACATCTGTGACAGATAAAAACATGCTTTTTTTTTAAACTGTGTATTTCATGTCTTTTTTCATGTGAGGTTAATCTCCAAAACCTCTTTACCGATCGCTTTGAAATTTTGACACAACGGTGCATTCGAATACGCACATGTTTTTATATATCTACTATATACATGCCACACCTGTGACAGGTAATAACATGCTTAAAAAAAAACGGCGCCATCTGTTGCACGTAATAGCCACACCCTATATTAAATATGTTGTGATTCCATTTCAATGTTTCCGATTGCATTGATATATTGATTTTTTATAGATTATTATTTATTTTTATTTAATTATTTTGTGTAACATTGCGTTAGAATTGAGCTGTGTTTTTACCATACCGTTCATTTCGTGAGTATAAGTATAGATACCACACATGTGACAAGTAAAAATATGTTTTTTTTTTAAAAACTGCGCCATCTGTTGCATGCAAGAGCAACACATGCTATACTAAGTATGTTACGATTCCATTTCAATGTTTCCGATTTCATTGATAAATTGAATTTTCATAGATTTCGATGTATTTTCATTGTTATTTAATTATTCTGTGTGACACTGCATTGGAATTAGGCGGTGTTGATTACCATACCGTTTATTTCGTGGGAATAGTTGTCTTTTTTCATTGGTTTTCATTTCTTTTTTATTTAATTCTCTTCTTATATTTCAGTGATGGGAACATCAGATCATTTGATGTTCCCCATTTTCTGATGGAAACATCAGATCTTTTGGGAATGCATCGGATGAGGGAGTGGGGAATGATGGGGAGGACGAGAGGACTGGGGAGGGGATAATGAGGAGAGGAAAAGAGGACGGGGGGGGGGGGGGGGGGAGTTGGGAATGGTGGGGCCGAAAGGACAGGGAAATGGAGAATGGTGGGGAGAACAAGGGGATAGGGGAGTGGGGGAAGGTGGGGAGGACAAGAGGACGGGGGAGGGGGGGAATGGTTAGGAGGACGAGGGGAAGAGGGAGGGGGGAATGGCGTGGAGAACTGAGAGACAGCGAAAGGTTGCTGTGGCTCAGCTACACATGATCCACAGCAACGCGTGGCTGGGTACAACAAGTATAATATAATTCTGTTCTCGCTCTAGGAGCCACTGCCGTACTACTACGACTACAACGTGCATGACGGCTACAAGGGCACCAACTTCGGCCAGCACGAGAAGTCCGACGGTAAAAATGTGTACGGCTCCTACACCGTCGACCTCCCCGACGGTCGCAAACAAAGGGTACGTCCACCTCCCTCACACTTTTTACACTCTTCACTCCATCGCCTAGCGTGCAACCCTAAGTTCATGAATAATGGTTTAAATTCCATAACCGCAATAATATCAAGTTAAATGCACCGTGTTCTTCCCCAGGTGGACTACACAGCTGACCACTACAGGGGCTACGTGGCCAAGGTCAGCTACTACGGCAAGGCTCAGCACCCTAAGCACTACGGCCCCGCCGTCACCTTCTTCAACAAGGGCTACGGCCACGGAGGCGGATACCACTAGTCTTGGATAACTTAACCTGCTCGACAATGATTATATTTATGTAAAGTTTATGTGAAAGAATAAACGAAAACTACCAAATATATTTGTCATTTGCGTCCAAACTGTAGCAACTAAGCGCCACAAGGAAGCTATTTATATTGTAACGTTTGTTGGTTTTGATTGATCCGGATAGTTGCAACAACATGCAATTTATGAATCAAACGCGTCATTACTTCAGAGTTCCACGTAAACGAAATAACATTTCATTATTATAAAATATATATTTTGTAAATAAAATATTGATAATGGCACCATTTTACGACAAACGTATATGCCAACCTCAGCATATATTCATTAATATAAATATATACATGTCTGATTCACTAAACAGATCTTGAACCCAATTCAAACAGTTGCTTGAGCACTGTTGGGAACTATTGGGTGGCAGACCTACACGTGCCAATTTCCATCCATCAAATGTCAAGGATCTCCGGAGCTGTTGAGGCAACACTTCACGGCCTCCCGGCGCTCACACCATTATACTCCAACACAACCAGAGACGTCGCCGAAGCAAGCAACAACAATTAAAAAGACTTCTCGCCGGAACTAAAGTTAAAATTCTTGCATCATTAATGCGATTTGACAGTCTGTAATATTTAAAAAGTGGTACTTGTTTAATTTGTGTACACAAAGTGAATTTTCAACATTTTATGATCGGGGAGCAAAGGCTAGTTCCTTTCCTGCATTAGTGGGTAGAAGACTGACACAAACTAAAAACTCTGCCGACCGAACACTACTACTCATCCAATGACGAAGGGTGCTTTAGTTGAGACCTCTTAACCTCTAGAGGGTTATTAAGGACAAGACAATACCTTACTGACCAACCAGCAAGTTTAGTCATGAACATAGTCCAGATCTAGAAAAAACTCTGAATCTACACCTAGAAGCGGGCTACACTTCTCTGTGCATTTATCCATGTGTGAAAGATGATGGAAAAACAAGTGTTTTAACACAGATTAAATTTAGTTGGAAACAGTTAATTTAATGGTAGCGCGATCTAGTGAGGTGTTACTGGTATTAAATTGCAAGGTTTCCAGACTGTTTACTGTAGAACTTGTGTGTACACTCCCATAAGTCATGGCGATGCTAAAGTTGTTTACTGAGGGACGGAACACCAGTATGAAGCTCGTCTATACATTTAATATTAAAATCCCCAGAGAAGCTTCTAGGCAACTGGAATCTCTGCACAAATGGAGGAATAACATATGTATATTGTTATACAAATTTATTGTTTCTAAACAGCGCCACATACATATACATACATACATACATACATACATACATACATACATACATACATACATACATACATACATATTATCTCCCAGAAGGTTCCTACTCGTTCCTCTCAATGTTTGCTGATGACGCCAAAATTATGAGAAGGATTAAGACAGGGGAGGACAACTTGAGGCTTCAAGAAGACCTGGGACAAGCTGCAGGAATGGTCGAACAAGCGATTGTTAGAGTTTAACCCGAGCAAATGTAATGTAATGAAGATAGGTGTAGGGAGCAGGAGACTAGATGCACGGTATCATTTGGGAGATGAAATACTTCGAGTCAGAGAAAGACCTGGGGATTGATATCACGGCAGATCTGTCCCCTAAAGCCCATAGCAAGAGGATAACATCAGCGGCATATGCCCGGTTGGCCAACATAAGAACGGCCTTTAGAAACTTGTGTCAGGAATCCTTCAGAACTTTGTATACCACATGTGCTTACAAATCCTGGAGTATGCGGCTCCAGCATGGAGTCCATCTCTAGTCAAGCATAAGACTAAACTGAAAATGGTTCAAAGGTTTGCCACCAGACTAGTACCCGAATTGAGGGGTATGAGCTACGAGGAGAGACTACGGGAATTAAACCTCACGTTTCTGGGAGACACAAGAGTTAGGGGGGACATGATCACCACATACAAGATTCTCAGAAGAATTGATAGGGTAGATAAAGACAGACTATTTAACACCAGGGGCACACGCACACGGGACACAGGTGGAAATCGAGTGCCCAAATGAACCATAGACACATTAGAAAGAATTTTTTCAGTGTTAGAGAAGTAGACAAATGGAATGCATTATGAAGTTTTGTGGTGGAGGCTGACTCCATACACAGTTTCCAGTGTAGATGTGATAAGAGACCAGTAGGCTCAGTAACCTGTACACCAGTTGATTGAAAGTTGAGAGGCGGGACCAAAGAGCCAGTGCTCAACCCCCGCAAGCATAACTAGGTAAGTACATACATTACATCAGCCTACTCACACCCGCATACGAAAAGAATCAAATAAAATTTTAACACTAATATAATCCCCATTAAATAATTTTGTTGAAAAAAAAGTTTATTCTATTAATTCCCACTATAAATGTGCCTTGAGAATGGAGGCTGTGAAATTGATGGTATTTGTCTGCTGGCGAAGGAAAATGTTACTTGTAACACAAAACACAATCATGAGATCTAAACCTTTATAGAAGCCCTCTCTAACCTGAACTTCCTGGGGGCTTAAGAAGTACTCAGCACCCTAAACACCACAAGAAGCTCCACCTTCACCTTCAACCCGGGTTACGCCCACTCAAGGGGCTACCAGTAATAATAAAAAAGTCAAGCATCCCAGGCTCCCAAACTCAAGCACGCACACATATGAAGATCTAAGTCTTCATTTGGACTGCATGATGAGTATGTTGGTCTGGTCTGACAAATGGTTGTTGGACTTCTACCCATATAAATATATGGCGATGAGAATTCAGGCTGGAGGGAGGAGACCTCCAAACAAAACGCAATGATCGGGAAACAACTCCTTAAACGAGAAAAGAATCTAGCAAACTTAACTTTTCTAACGCCAGCCCCCCACCCTCACACACACACACAACACAATAACATCAGCGGTGCATGCAGGTATCAAACATCAGACGTAACATTCAGGAGCCTTAACAAGAAAGCTTTCATAACCTTGTTCCTCACTAACGCTGGCAGTGCTTTAGCATTCAATCTCTCTGTGGAGAACCATCTAAAATAACACACAGGCTAGTCCAGAAGTTTGCCGCTATATTGGTGTCAGAACTGAGAGGTTTGGGGATACGAGGAAACACTGGGGAAACTACCTCAACGTTTAATATCACGGATATGATCGCTCTATTAAAGATTCATTGGTGCACTGACAGGATAGACGACGATATGTTCACAAGAAGATATGAATCAATGAGAAAGAAGGAAGCAATCGACCCAGCTAAATAACTTAGATGTAAAGAAGCACTTTTCAGTGCTTGAGTTGTTAACACGTGGTACAAATTAAGGAGGGTAATTGAAGTTAACTATATATTCACTTTTTAAATCAGGCATGATAACTACTGTATTATGTGGGCGACAACAGAAAAGGCAGGGACCAGGAGCCGCTAGTCAACCATGCAAGCACTAATCGCTGAGTACACACTCCCATCCGTGTGGTTTGCGAGGCGTCTGACAATGAATTACGTTTCTGAAGTGCTCAATTAAAACATTTAAATTTATTTTAAACAATAGTATTTTTAGTGTTAAATTAAATATTGTACCGAGAGACTACCTTTAAGTTGGCTTCAGGTAACATCCCGTCAAACACACACCGAAACTACGACGTTGGTACAACGTTAGAACAAGTTTTAACACCTCCTAACCAGTTATAACAACTAATATAGTAAGTTGTAACAACGTTCTAATACGTCATAAACACGTTAAGCCAAGATGTAACAACTTTATTACAAGTTGTAACTAGCGGAAAATAGAGACAGTTTCGGTTTGTGTTTCCAGGGATGTGGTTAATACCTTGAGGTTACGTTAAGATGGTTCCGAGGATTAGCGTCCCCGCGGCCCGGTTCTCGACCAGGCCTCTTTTTTTTTTTTAATAAAACAAAGAATATTTACAATATAAAATAGGTCGCCAAAGCCCCAAATCGGAACAGCTCAACACAACTTGAACAAAACACGAAAGGCACACGAAACAAAGGTGGAATACATATTTGGGAAGTGCAAGAACAAAACAAAAAAAAAAGTACAAGTATAATAAAAGGGGGCACCAAGGCACCAAAACGGAACATCCTACAACAGAACAAAAACAAAAAAAAGACAAAAAAGCAATACACATGAGCAGACATAAATAAGCAAAATAGTACACACAAGTAAACACAACATGAAACATAAAACATCAGCACTAAACATCATGCATAACCAGTAAAATACACAAACCCACCACTTGAGCAGGGAAACTAGACACAAAATACTACACATAAACACACCACAAACAGAAATAATATTACATAAAAGAACACATACACAGGGTAGCCGCCGACAACGGCGATACATGCCGGAAGGCTCCGAAGCACCACGGGTTAACACATAGCACAAAACATGGAAAGCAATATAAGACAGCAAAAGACAACCCCACAACCGGGGTAAAATACAGGCACAGAGAACTGGGTCGCCAACTCCACACAGGCGGAAAAAGTGGCATCACACAGTACCACAACAGACAAAACAAACACACGGCAACACACAAACGGACCTGAAACCCTCAAACGGAGGATGGGCCCACCACACACACACACACACACAAACACACACACACACACAGGAACCAGGCCAACACAGCCAGGCCACACAACTCAGCCAGAAGCACGGCACAAAATTTACATCCAGAACAGAGCACAACAAACACAGGCATCAGAAAGCACAGACTGTTAACACAGACCAAGGGAATTTCACACAATACCCATCCCACTCCTCTAAATTATAGGGTGTACGTATACCCTTGGGGCAATCCGTATAATCCGAGGCCCACCGGCTGGACGGCGGGACCCCAGGCACATTGTCCAGCACCACGGAGCCCCGCCGGACTCCATCCTTTTTTCAGTACCAGAACGAGATCACGACCCACACCATCGCAGACAGCTGCGACCTCCCATCCCGGCGAACCTGGCCTCAGAAGCGCTGGGGAAGGCACAGGGGGCAAGCACGAAGGAGGTCACAGGAGCAGGCACAGAGGAGGCCACAGAAGCAGGCACTGAAGAGGGCACAGCAGCAGACACTGAAGAGGGCACAGCAGCAGGCACTGAAGAGGGCACAGCAGCAGGCACTGAAGAGGGCACAGCAGCAGGCACGGAAGAGGGCTCAGAAGCAGGCACGGAAGAGGGCCCAGAAGCAGGCATGGAAGAGGGCCCAGAAGCAGGCATGGAAGAGGGCCCAGAAGCAGGCACGGAAGAGGGCCCAGAAGCAGGCACGGAAGAGGGCCCAGAAGCAGGCATGGAAGAGGGCCCAGAAGCAGACATGGAGGAGGGCACAAGAGCAGGCACAGAGGTACCCCCCACCAGCTGCCACCCGAGACATGGCCACACGCCATGCTTGGAGACAGGCCGCTGGTCATCTGAATTATCACACCCTTCATCAGGCACCACAGCAGAAAACTCTGGCAGACGTGCCATCCCACGCATAGCACGATCCCTTAGTACCACAGCTTCAACAATCGGGGGCACCGGACCACACACGACAGGAGACCGTACCTCAGGGACATCTACAGGGACATTCACGGTAAATACCTCACCCGGAGACGGGGCAAGCAAGGGTGCCAGAGGCGGGGAAGCCGGTGGCGGGGACGGGCCTGTACCGGCCCCACACCACGACCCCCACATTCCCAACCAAGGGGCTGGCAGAATAAGGCACCAGCACCGAGTCACCAGACGGCCATGAAGCAGTGCCCACAGCACCAACACAAGGAGACGAGTTCGAGGCCGCCAACGGGGGAAAATCCTTCTCCCGGAAGGAATTGGTAGGAGCCGCCACCAAACCACTGCAGATCGCCGCCTGGTGCCATGCAAGGCCAGACCGGAAACATGTTCAGGGCTGCCCAGCTTAGAAGGCATGGATGGAGTTACCAAGCAATGTGACAGTAGACAGAACAGGAGGAGACTGGAGACAGAGCAATGGTCCAGGTCCCGTTAGATACGCCAAGCCACCTGCCGGAAGAGACAACGTTCATCCAGAGACCCAACAGCACCATACTGTCCAAAGTAACGAGGAAGCAATCTGTCCGGGAACTCAAATGAAACCCCATGAAGTGCCACATACGTGAGAGTACAACAGTGGTTGGACACAGTGACGGTACCACCATTGTCAGGGAGCGGGAACGACCGACCATCATAGCGGGCTACCAAATCCTAGTAAATGGCCAGAGAGCCGAGCTTAACAAGCACCAGGTGAGTTGTTAAGAGCTTCACTCCACAGACGTCCGCTATTTTAACTCACAGCACATCCAGTACCACCACCTCCATTGACAGGTACGACGCCCGTCCACAGAATTCCAATCCAATAGTCTCCGAGCACCCAACATGGGGAAGGGGCTGCCCCATGACGCCACCAGACAGCCGGAGGGTCGCGCCCACTGGTCTGGACATACCAACAGCTAGGTTAACATTGGGAGCAAGGCACGACGCACACCCACACCCTATGCTGACTAATCAGCCAATCTTGACCAGGCCTCCTCGTTGCTGGACTGGTCAACCAGGCTGTTGGACGCAGCTGCTCGCAGCCTGATGTATGAGCCACAGCCTGGTCGATCAGGCATCCTTTGGAGGTACTAATCAAGTTCTCTCATGAACACTGTAAGTGGTCGGCCAGTTATACCCTTTGTGTGTAGTGGAAGCGTGTTGAACAGTCTTGGGCCTCCGATGTTTATAGAGTTCTCTCTCAAAGTACCTATTGCACCTCTGCTCTTCAATGGGGTATTCTGCACATCCTGCCATGCCTTCTGGTCTCATGTGGGGTTACTTCTGTGTGCAGGTTTCGGACCAGCCCCTCAACAATTTACACGTGGAAAATAGTAATGTATTTACAAGTAATAGGTATTCAGGTATTCCTACCTGCGCTCAAGAGAATACAGATTTAGGCATTTTAGTCGGTCCCAGTAGTTTAGATGTTTTACTGAGTGGATTCTAGCAGTAAAGGATCTCTGCATGCTCTCCAGGTTAGCTATTTCCCCAGCTTTGAAAGAGGCTGTCATTGGGCAATAGTATTCAACTCTAGAGAGCACTAGCATCTTTAAAAGTATCATCATCGGTATAGCATCTCTAGTGTGAAAGGTGCTTGTTATCCAACCTGTCATTTTTCTTGCAGTTGTGATGGCTACTTTACTGTGTTCTTTAAAAGGTAAGGTCTTCCGATATGAATACATCCAAATAATTCTCATTGCCTTTTTCTTCTATATAATGCTTTGACTGCATTTTGTACGTGGTTTCCGTTTTTATATTTTCAGTTTTCCCCGTAGTGCATAAACTGGAACTAATCTTCGTTAAACACTATACTATTTTCTGTAGCCCATATAAAGGCCCGATTTACATCTGATTGGAGGTTTGCCGTGTCCTGTTTGTTGTGTACTGTCATAAAAATCCTAGTGCCATCTGCAAAGGAAGATACAGTACTACAGATTGTTTCCTTGTCTATGTCCGATATGAAGATGAGAAAAAGTACTGGAGCAAGCACAGTACCATGATGGACTGAGCTCTTCACGGTTGATGGATCGGATTTTATTTTGTTGACTATTACACATTGGGATCTATTAGTCAGGAAATTATAGATCCATCTGCCTATTTTTTTCCGGTAATTCCTCTTAAACGCCTTTTGTGTGCGATGGTCACATTCGTCGAAGCTCTTGCGAAATCTGTATAAACTACATCAGCGTTTTGTTTGTCTTCTATGGCATCTAAGGCCACGTCATAGTGGTCTGTGTGTGATAACTGTGATAGTGGTCTAACTGTGATAAGCAAAAGCGCCCTGTTCTGAAACCATGTTGTCCAGGGTTAAGGAGAATCTGTGATTCGATGTATTTTGTGATCTTACTTCTTAGCACGCTTACAAAGATTTTTATGATGAGTGATGTTAGTCCTATTGGCCTGTAATTTTTTGCCTCTGCATTATATCCTTTATGAAGTGGTGCTATCTCTGCTGTTTTTAATATGTTAGGGATAACGCCAGTATCTAGGCTCCGTCTCCAAAGAATATGAAGGTCCTGCGATAGTGTTTTTTTTACAGTTCTTGATGAATATAAAGTTTAGAATCAGAGCCTGGTGAAGAGTGCATAGGCATACTGTCTATCGGTTAAGAAGAAGTGTTATTGTATCTGTTAAACTCTCTCCCTCTCCACCTTACCTGTTTATTCCAGCTCTTCCCCTTAATCCCTGTATATTTTCTCCTTTCCTTCCATTCCTTTTTTTCGCGCTCTCTCTCCAGCAGTTTTTTTCTAATATCTGAACACCTTCTCTCTTCCATTTCCCCCCTCTCTCATTCTTTTACCTCCCATTTTTCTTTCTTCCTCCTTCCTCTTTTCTAAATATTCTCTTGGGAGTCTAAATTTCCGTAGTGACAGTTGAGGGTATCATGTGATATGTGTCTAGTGGCCAAAGGACAGAAGATAGACTAACAGTGTTCCGAGTTATAGCCCATGCGGTATGACTCTTGGTGGGGAATAATACAACGCCAGTGAAGCTAATTCAATTACTTGGAGGAATATTGACCTTGTTTTGACCAAACCAGATATATTAAATATCTGGTACAGATACATACATTATTAGTAATATTGACTTTATTGAATACTGACCAGATTTTTATTACTAAATAATAATATCTTTCAAATTCGTCATGTCTAAATTTGGCTTAACATGCAATTATAAGATAGTAAAACCAAACTATTTTGATCTGTGTTGTTTCTTTGTCTTGGTGCTCTTGAAACGTGCGCAACACATGTGTCGTTGTTACTCTGAACAGCTGCTTTCATAAGTGGGTGGCACAAGTGTCCTTGTTGCCCCAAACTCGGCACCTCGGCTATTCACTGATAACTACAAAATAATTATCAAACTTCAAACACTTTTTAGCCCCAGCCTATCATGGCGCCTGTGTCGGTAACCCGTATATAATACTCCCAGCACGATTCACTAGTACTGTTAATGGTAGTTAAAGCACAAAATATAAATGTTTAAATAAGTTGAGATGATGATGATCAAGGAACGCCTGAGAGGGGGAGGGGGTGATAGTCAAGAAATGCTGAGGAGGGGGTTGGGGTTACTGTCAGGGGTTTCCGGGGAGGTGGGGGTCGGAGTGGAGAGGCTGGATGCTGACAGTGCCAGAGGGAGCGGGTATATAAGTGGAGCAGCTCCCCAACACAGTCAGTCGCTCGACCAGCAGCCTCAGCTCAACATCCCTACACACTCATATAATTATGTTATTCAAGGTCTGCTTCGTTATCTTGATCAAATATAGCAACAAACACATTTCAATGTTCATTAATAAATAACCAAAAAATCGAAATTCCAATTGAATTACCTGATATACAGCATCAGTTCATTTAAGTATAACATATTGAATATTTATTAACTGCAATAATTTGATCGATACAAATTTTAAAATTACTCGTTAATACCAGAAGTCGTCGCGGATAAAGTAAATACATTACATACTATCTTCGAGTAATATGCTCAACACAACGATCATTCATAACTGCTGATAACTGTAAAGTTTATGTAAGCTGACAACATTCCCTGGACCACAATGACTACTGACTCACAAGGACTCATCTTCCCCAGGTGTGTCTGGTCCTGGTGGTGGCCGCCGTGGCTATGGCGGACCCGGGTGACTACGGTGGACCCGTCTACGCCTCGGTACGTGTCACTTATTGTGTTTGTTGTGATCGGGCTTCAGCTCCTGGACGCAATCAAATTTAAATTACAGGTTGTCATGTATTGACTGTCGGCCCTCGAGTTTAATTTATAATATTTAATTATTATGAATGGATTTATTCTCAACAAACTATTTAATTCCACGTTCACACTATCTGTATAAAATAATATTTACTTTCATCTGTATGGCTTACACGAGTATCCAATTTCCATATGTATCCGCTAGCATTCTGGTGGTCCATCATAAACTGCTCGCTTTTATCCACTTTCCATTCACCAAAAGTATTTTATAGTTCTCAGTCACGTGTTCTCTGGTTTTTTATATACAAGATGAGTTTTAATTCTCTTAATCAGGTCTCGTACGTTTACATTGTGTCTGAAACTAGCTTTATGGCATTTTTTCATTTTTTAACAAATTTGTTTTGGAGCTGATTAAGGGGTGAGCTGTAAAGAATATAATACTCTTGGCATACTTTTTGTCCGGATTCCTGAAGTTTCCATCCCTGTGTATGCCAGTGATGTGATCCTGCTTGTGTATGCCAGTGATTTTATTCTGCTTGTGTATGCCAGTGATATTTTCCCTGCTTGTGTATGCCAGTGATATTTTCCCTGCTTGTGTATGCTACTGCTGGAGTACGCCACTGATGTTATCCCGTGTGTGAAGTCAAATTTCTGGGTCTTTTTATCATAATAAGCTTTCAATTACGACAAAAGTCGATATTAAACTTAATGGACATTTCCTGCATCTTCTAAAAAAAATCCTCCAGTTGCAGTATTTACTCATAATATAATCTACTTATTTATCTTAAATTAGCTGCAAACGTCATTAAGGTGGTGGTCAGGCTCGCTTGTATTTTAGTGTTGAGTTCTGTGACCACTCAAGTTATATTTACATGATTAATATATAATACATAACATTTAATATTAAATGTAATATATACATTAAAAATATATAATTATATTATTATAATATTGTAAAATATAATATATATTATAATTTTCCTCGCTCTAGGAGCCACTGCC